TTTCAGGAACCTAACCCGTGGTTGGTGAGGGAAACCTGTATGTACAAATTGGCAGGTTGAATTTTCTAAAAATAAATATGTAGACTTGACTTTTAACTCATTGTGTAACGCATCCTGGTTCTTAGTGGAGCTTTAAAAAAGTAGATTCTTTCAGCAAGTCCATTTTATGTGTACAGACTTACAAGCTATACGGATGAAGGTTAAAAAAAGATGATGGACAATACATTAGTATAGGTGAACGATATTCATTTAGCAAAACAGCAGTAGCTCATTTTGCTGTACCAAAAAGCAATAGTTACAAACAGAGGAATATATGAATTAAATGGTTACTAAAGGCAGTATCTTTTCTTTTCTGAACATTTATTTTGTGTATTGTAGGTAGAGAGTTTCCTTTCAGAACAGCATACCTTTAAGGTGGTATGTACTGTATATTTATGGATTAGCAAAGAATCAGCACGTCTGTGTATGTGTGCATATGTAAAATGTTTTCTTACCCGTGAAAAACATATGTAAATTAGCTATAAATTAGCTTAATGTTATAAATTATTAATAAGTGAACTTATTCAAACACTATCTCCAACACTCCCACAGCTAGAATTATGGGAAGAAAATGTAAAACCAGCCACTAAAGAACTGCATATCCTTTCTCTTGCCATTAAGAAAACTAGATCAAAATATCTGAACTATAAATAAGGATGAATATTTATCTTTGCGTTACTTTTTTCTGCCCTTGTTGGTTTAAGAGATTGGTTCCTATGGTCTTTTTAAATTTAAAAAACATTGACTTGATGTAACATCATTAAACATGCACAATCTTGATGTTAAATATTTTCTAAAAACACTTTTATTTTAGGTGTCAGAGTAGGTAGGACGATACTCAAATGCATAGGTGGAGCCAGTATGGAACAAGCTGAAAAAAAATCATTCCCCCTTTTTCAGTAGTAGAAGGCTTTTGTTTTCCACTACTGAAATAGTCAGCTAATTAATTTGACCACCATTTGTAGGCTTTGGAACAAAGTTTCTTCCATCTAACTCAGTCACTAGGTTGGGGAAGCACTTCTGTTGTAAATGAATCTCCTCACTAATTTTGTCCACTTTTTCCACAGCAGAAGAAACAGTAGAGCAACTCAACTTAGTGTATAATAGATGGCATTTCTTCTTAAGCATAAAAAAAGAAATAGCCCTAGGCATCACTGTGGACAGCCCAATGAAACCATATATCCTTAGCGAACAACAGCAACTAATTAGGGAAATAAGATGTTCAGATTTGTTAAAGAAAGTGATAGAAAATAATATTAAAAACCATATAACAGCTGTTTTGTAAACTGGTGGCATGGCTTTATTTTAAATACTGTAGTTAGTCTTGTTCATCTTATCAGAGAAAGGCATATACAGGAGAAATAAAATGGAAAATGAATAGATGATCAATGAATGAATAAGGAGAAATAGGGCTTTCAAATAAGGAGAAATGATAAAAAGACAAATCAGAGATGACAAAACAAAGGTATAGAAAATAATGAGTAGTACAGAGAAGGTAAATGAGGTGCTCCTATTTACCATTATAATACTAGGACAAGGGGACTATTTTAATTTTAAGTCAACCGGGGAGCTACAATAGACCCAGAGAATCTTCCTTTTCAATTCAGAGCAGTCTTCCCAATGCCTTTGGCTCAGACTGATGCCTTCAAAACAAGAGAAGTATAACAGCCAGCTTCTTATCCTCGATTCCTGCCACGGAGAGTTAGAGGTCCCAGTGGGTGCTTCTACACGAGATGTTTGATGCCTACTGGACTAATTCTACTGTGCATTAGCATGGCTGGCAAAAACCATGCTAATGCGCAGTAGACTTAGTCCAATGTGCATTAAGTATCACAAAAAAAAACATTAATCTGCACTGACACACAGTAGCACTGATTACGGTGCATTAAGTTTAATACCTGTTATTACAAAATAATGGTGATTACAGCCCATTAATGAACATGTAGACGTTTCCATTGAGTAGCATGTATTTGTTTTAAAAGGACAAACTTTTTTTTTGTTTTTAACAGAGAGTAATTGTTAAGAAAAAGTAGGGAACTGTCAAAGAGAAAACAAATATAATATGCATTGTTTGTTTTTGAATCATCATCACTTAACTCTTGGTAAGATTGAAGTATTTATTTTTTGCAGAATAATAGTCTGGATGGGGGAACAATATTGTTTTTGGGGAAGAAGACTGGAAAACCATTTCGTACCTAAAACTGGGCCAAAACTAAGGGTGATAACTGTCTGTCCAGAGATAACCCCTTTACACAGGAAAAGAGCAGACAGGGCAGGAAAAATATTTTTTCTTTGAACTAGGTTCTAACATGATGTTTAAATAGGCAACTGAATAGGAAATAGGAGAACTTAAAGATGATGTGACTATGCTGAATACATCTAGTGAGGTTAATAATTAAGAAAAGAATCAAGGGTTCCTAGTAGGTGAGAATATCAAAAATAGAAAACGTTACTTACATTTTAAGAAAATATAAGATGTACAATATTTTTAGAAACAATAATCTCCAATTTCTCTGTCTACAAACATGGACAGAATCCATTAATCCTAATATTTATGGATATTATTCATGCTCTGATTGCAAACCTACGAGAGGCATAAAAAAATCTAAATTCCAAAGAAATTAGAATTCCAAATGAAATTGCACTTCCTCCCTCTGCCTCTGGAGGAGTTTCAGTTTGAGTTTCTGACTTTGAGAATGGTGATTCAAATAACAACAGTTTTTCCATTTCCTATTTTGAAATAGGAATTCAAATGCAGCAAAACTGAAGATTAACGCTCTGGTTCAGAGCCATCAAACTTAACTGTTGGGTACCAATCAGTAACAGCCCATATGCCACAGGCAACAACTGCTGAATAATCCACAAATATCTGGAAGCCTCTGTCTAGAACCTGGTTTCTTACCTCCCAAACTACAGGCCAATGCCATTTTAGGTAAAGGTTATCTCTCTGATTTGCATTAATTAACTAGCATTTATACTCTATGTGGGCTAATACCTAAAAGGAAACTCAATACATACAAAACTAGTTAATTATAGAAGGAGCCTCATATATTAAGGAGAAAAATCTGTTGCTCAAAAGAAACCAACATATATAGCATCTGGCACGAAGCCAGAAGCACCTTAAAAATGCCTTAAAAGAGGGGTGTCAAACTCAGTCTATGCCCAGAGCCAGATCCAGACTGTGGGGCTTCTTCACAGGCTTGATCTAGCCCAGGGCATGGAGCAGAAGCAGTGGGACAGGTGGGGATGGTAGTAGTAGATGGTGGGGACAGGAAACCACAGGGTGAGGGAGGCTGTCTTAGCACAGCTCTTGCTTGCCATCTTACTGCTGTTGGTCATGTCCACTGGGGCCTAGAGGCCCCAGATTCCATAGCAGGCCTTTCTCCCTCATTTTGCTATTGGCTCCATGAACCAGATATGGCTCATGGGGTGTGCGTATGACACCCCAGCCTTAACAAGATGAAAAAGAAAATATTCTGTGAAGGCCACCTAGACAGCTAAAGTTAAAGAACCATATTTCTGTAGCCTTTGCACTCATATCCTCTGGGAATCCGAGACAGAGGTGGCCCTTTAACAAATATTCACCAGTGAGTAATATTTATCTTAAAAGTAGGGTGACCATATGTCCCGGATTGGCTGGGCCAGTTCTGGATTTTGGAGGCTGGTCCTGGCTGGCCAGTGAAAATTAAAATGAGTGTCCTAGGCATGGGGCATGGAGACAGAGCAGAAGGAGGCCCTGTGAAATAGGAAGCCCTAGCAGACATTAAAATTGCTTGTTACTTCACAGATAATTGTTAGTACCTGAAGTAAAGAACAATGAGTCATTAACAGGCCATTACTACATCTTAAGCTAAAGAATTAAACCTTCATAGCGGGGGCTGTACATATATCCTCTGTGTATTAAGCACAGAGGGAAACCTGTATATAACATATGCTCACCCGTGAGTTAAAATGTCATGCATATTCAAAATTGGCCTGAACTAGTGACAACATTACTGATAAGAGATAACACAAGTACAGAATATAAATTGTACCTGCAAAGGCAATATCTCAGACCAACATGGCTACCAAGACGATTAAATATCTATGCTTTTATTAAGCACTGGGATTATACAAGTAAACAATATATTTTTAAAAATAAACTGTTAGTGATATTAAAATGTACCGGGTTGTTTTAAATAATAAATTGATACACTTCTGTGCTGTATTTATTCTTTGCCAGGACATCACTGAATTTACGTTTTCATCACCTAATTTAGGAAGCATTCTGTGAGTTCTGTGTTGCATTGTTCAGACAAGGTTCTTTGGGTGAATCCGATATCTTTTATTAGACCAACTTAAATAGCTGGAAAACAATTATTAAGCAAGCTTTCGGGTTCAAAAACCCTTCTTCAGGCTAAGGAAGTTTCTGCAGTTGGTGTGTGCTCTCTGGCTTCTTTACTTTTTATACCATCCAAGAAGAGCACACACCAACTGCAGAAACTTCCTTAGCCTGAAGAAGGGTTTTTGAACCCGAAAGCTTGCTTAATAATTGTTTTCCAGCTATTTAAGTTGGTCTAATAAAAGATATCGGATTCACCCAAAGAACCTTGTCTGCGTATGTCCTTAGACCAACATGGCTACAACTTACACCCCTGTGTTGCATTGTTGAAACTTATTGGAACAGCACGGATTTGAAAAGGCTAATTACTATTTAAAATACTGTTTATGGACAACTGCAAACAAACATTGGGAGGTCGGTAACAAAGAACACAGACTTTTGCTCTTTATGCAAACTATAAACTGTTCATCATTAGACTTTGTACATACTAAATAGAGGAAAGCAATCTTTATTGCTTAGTTTATTGCTAATTTAATTGTTTTAACTTATTTCACAATTTGCCACAAGATGTACTTCATGATATTGTAAAGTAGCATAGAAAATTGGGAAGTATAGGCATTCTTTACCAGAATCTTATTACCTGTGTGCCAGGAGTGCTCTGAAGGTCATCTCATTCAGTTGCAGATAACTTGGCAGCAAGTTTGACCAATCCCAGTTCCATTCAGTAATAGCTGACTGTTGATATATTGGAAGAAGCTATTGTTAGTTATTAATCAGAGTTAATATGATCAGTAAATTAAAGCTCCAGCTGTGATAGACTAACTAAGAAGGAGGGGGGTCTAGAGCAAGGACTTAGACAGATGATATCAATCATGTCCACAGAAGAAGGTTTTTATTCCAATAAGACAGCAATTAATTTATAAATCCATTTGGGGATGTAGCCATTATTTATAAAAAGATAAATCAATTTTTTGAGTCGTTATTCTTCCAACTGTTAATGGCATTTTGCCCAACCACTTTCTCTGAGAGCTTGACTCTTTGTTTGAAAAGCAAAATAATTGGCAACTTTTTATGTATTGTAGCAATTTACATTTTCTACTGTCAGCAAAAAGTTTATCAAGAGGGAAAACTTGGTGTAGCTGGAACTCAAGATGCATGCTGTATCTTAATTAGTGCATGATATTTTACTTGTCTGTTATTATGTAAGGCATTGCCATCATCAGATGGTTATTATAAATACCTTTAAATATAGACAATATGAGCTCATGTAATGCCCTGTTGCTTATTTTATGAATAAAAGGTATCCTAAAATAATTGTATGCCGATAGATTACTATATACAACAATATTATACTTATAATGCAGCATTTGTTGCTGTATAACATTAATTAACCTTATTAACTATAGTTGAACTGATCAGAAAACAGTGATGATAATGTAATTAAGTTCAATATCCTTGAGGGAAAGATCAAGCCAAAATTAGATTGTGATACTAAACCTGGCAATTGGAATTTTTTTTTTTTTAAGATGAGGAAGTGTGTCAAAACTAAGGAAATTAAAATCCTTGTAATTCTGCATGGAGGTTATATTACTTATGATGGGGAGTGGAAGACAAATATAAGTGTATGTTTCTACATGCATCTGGTTGGATGGCAAGGTTAAAGAGCTTTTTCAAGGCAAACAAGTATCCTTCAGGAAAAGAAATGCAATTCAAAGTAAACCGATACTGATAAGTGATAACAGGTAAAGTTACTCCTAAACCTTTCAGGATTTATCTCCCTGCAGATAAACTTTGGCGCTTCTAGACAGGGCTGAATGCATACCAGGCTTGTTCTCCTAGTCCCTCCACCTTACTTATAAGTCCCCCTCCCCCAATCTTCTTTTTATTTATTTTTGTCTCTCTCTTGTGTACACCCACACAATAAAAATAAGATGGTGAATGGGACAGAGACAGAAACAATATGAGAAAAGGGCAGGGAAAAATAAAAAGATGAGATTGACAGCAAAAGGGGAAAGCAAAAAGATAGAAGTAATAGTGAATGAAAAAAGGAATGAGGAGGAAAAAAGAGTCAATGGAGTACAGTAATGAGTAAATGAAGAGGTAGATGAAAGTAGAAACTAGAAAAAGGGGAAGGGATGGCATCAGAAGAGTTGATGATCTTATGTTTTAAATATGAGTTTAGACAGACAATCATCCTGTACACAGAAAAAAACATTAAAGGCAGAAGAAATTATCAGGGCTAACGGGAGAAAATGTGGAGAGCAAAAGTAAAAAGCATAAAAACAAACAAGAAATACTGTAAACAGAAGATTGGGAGGGAACTGGTCAGTCTGGTGAATCTATTAGAAAGTAAGAGCAATTATGGAAAGGAAAGTCACTCCAGAACAACAAAATAATTTCGTTCCAGCACAATTCATCACCAAGACAGTTGATGAGTTGTATGTTCTGGCCTTACTCTTCTTAGCTAATAAAAGGAAGAACTTTCAGATATTAGAGGTGTCAGGCAAATTGATAAAACTAAGAACAACAAGTCATGAGGACCAGATGATAAAGTTTTAAAGTTCTGAAGAATCATAAGAATGACATGGCTGAATTATTAACAGGCAGACAAGGTTCTTTGGGTAAATCCAATATCTTTTATTAGACCAACTCAAATAGTTGGAAATTAGTTGGAAACTCAAATAGTTGAATTGGTCTAATAAAAGATATCAGATTTACCCGAAGAACCCTGTCTGCTTATGTCCTTAAACCAACACAGCTACAACCCACACCCCTGAATTGTTATCAGAAACTCTGCGATCTTTCTAAACTCAACTATTAAAACAGTAGGCTGGAAGATAACAAATTGCTTATCTTTAATTAAACTGCTAGAGTTGGTCATAAGGATTACTGAACAGTGATCTTCATTTTAGGACCAAGTAAAGCTTTTGAAATTACAACTATTGACCATCTTCATGAACATGATCTGATGGGGCCCTAACAAGCATAGCTTCTGAAAAGGAAAATCATATATTTTAATATACTACAGTTCTTTGTGCATGTCAACAATAGCAGAGCAGAGAACAGCTTCATATAATTTGTCTAAACGTATAAAAAGCTCTTGAAAAGTTCTGTATCAAAAATCATTATTAAGGACCTATATTAAGGAACCTAAGCAGTCGTGAGCTAAAAAGAAAAATGTTAGATTAGTAATTGGCTAGAGACCAGAGAAAAATAGATGATTTTCTTAATGGCACAGTTTGGCCCCAGTCAACTCAGCTGTAAACGGGTACTTGGTCATTCCAGCTTGGCAGTCAACGTTAGCCAAAAATGAAGTTAAGTACATATATACCTTGTATGCCATTGTCTATAGAAACTGGAATGCCTTAAACATACTAGCCAGATAACCTGTTATATTTAAGCAAAACTCTGACTCAGTGAGAAGATAATGCTGCTGCTTACATAGAACACAGGATAGATTTACGGAAGAGTTCTATTTTGGGTATGGATATGCATAATACTTAGACTCATTAAATGCAGTTTAAGTCTGAAACAGATATATGTACAAGCCTGTTAAACTAGTCTAAAGCTGTCTGGAACAGTTCAAAAGTATACCTGGACAATCAAGTACTATATGAGTCAGGTCAGGGTTATGTGTGAACATCAAGCATTTGTGATATGGGCCTGGTCAGTCCTTCAAGCATCCCACACTGCATGCCCTTTTCCCCACTTTGTTGGCATTTTTTATCAATAAGTTCCCTTGCACAGCTTGTTCATTAACAGCTGTCTTTCTAACAGCCAGCTATGTCCTCACTCCCTACTTAACTATGGCCCCTCATTATGTTTCCCCAGCCCCTGGGAACTCAAAAATGTGGGGCCAAATACTCTCTGGCCCCCCTGGGCAACCACACTTCAATTTTACTGAACTCATATTTATAAGAGAAGGGAATTCTTAAGTCAGCTCATGGAGACAGTTAGGTCAAAGGACATGGTCATCACGGGTGACCTAAACTTTCCAGACATCTGCTGGGAAGAACAGTCAGCCAGGTCTGACTCTCACATAGGTTCCTAGCCAAGATACAGGACCTCCATCTAATCCAGGAGGTGCACAGCCCCACCAGGGGAGACACCTTGTTGGATCTGGTCCTGGCCACGGGTGATGACCTGGTGAGGGGTCTGCAGGTGCTTGACCACCTGGGTGACAGCAATCGTCGCCTGCTGGAATTCACCATCCAGCGCAAGGTGGCAAAGGCCTGCAGCAAGGCAGCAACCCTGGACTTCAGGAGTGCAGATTTCAATGAGGTAAGGAGAATAGTCAGAGAGACACTGAGGTTTTGGAGGGGAGGGGAGTTGGGTGTCCAAGAAGAGTGGCCGTTCCTTAAGGAGACGATCCTCCAAGCCCAAAGGGAGGTAATCCCAACACGGGTCAAAGGGGGCAAGAGGGTGCAAAAGCCTCCATGGCTCACCAAAAGCATCCGGGAATGTCTCCTAGCTAAAAAAGAGGCATACACCCAATGGAAGGGAGGGGCCATCACCAGGGAGGACTATACCTCTGTTGCTCAGGACTGTAGGGGGGCGGTCAGAAAGGCCAAGGTGGAGATGGAATTGGAACTAGCTACCCAGATCAAGGACAACAAGAAGTCCTTGTTTACATACATAGAGGGTAAAAAGAAGGTACTGGGTAATGTGGGGCCTCTACAGAACACCCTAGGAAATCTGGTCGTCGCATCAGACAGCAAAGCTAACCTACTTAACAATTTCTTTGCCTCCATTTTTCTGAGCAGGGACCGGGTCATCCCCCACACTGGGACCCCCGTAGGTCCCAGGGGAGGCGCAGCCAGGCCTAGGGTCGGTGAGGATCTAGTCAGGGAACTTCTGGAGGGACTGGATGTATTTAAATCAGCACGTCCTGATGATCTCCACCCCAGAGTGCTGAGGGAATTAGCAGCGGTCATTGCGGGACCACTGGCACGGCTTTACAAGCACTCATGGTGCTCTACCGATGTGCCAGAGGACTGGCAAGGGGCCAATGTGGTTCCCATTTTCAAAAAAGGGAGGAAGGAGGACCCAGGAAACTATAGGCCAGTTAGTCTTACCTCAGTCCTAGGTAAGCTTCTTGAGAGAATTATCCTGGCACATGTCCGTGAGGGGCCAGCAGGGGAGATTATGCTTAGGGGCAACCAACATAGGGTTCATTAGAGACCGATCCTATCAGACTAACCTGGTGGCCTTCTATGACCAGGTCACAAAATCCTTGGATGCAGGTATCGTGGTAGACATAGTCTTTCTGGACTTTAGGAAGGCCTTTGACACCATCTCTCACCCCATTCTCATTAAAAAACTAGGAGACTGTGGCGTTGATACCTACACAGTCAGGTGGGTCACTAATTGGCTGGAGGGCTGCACCCAGAGAGTGGTGGTGGACAGGTCTTATTCATCCTGGAGGGATGCGGGCAGTGGGGTTCCGCAGGGCTCAGTCCTCAGGCCTGCACTGTTCAAAATCTTCATCAGCGACTTGGACGAGGGGGTAAAAAGCACCCTGTTCAAATTCGCAGATGACACTAAGATGTGGGGAGAAGTGGGCATGCTAGGAGGGAGGAATAGGCTGCAATTGGACCTGGACAGGTTACAGGGGTGGGCAGATGAGAACAGGATGGGTTTCAACACTGACAAGTGCAGGGTACTGCACCTGGGGAGGAAGAACCAGCAGCATACCTACAGGCTGGGGAACTCCCTTCTCGTCAGTGCAGAGGCAG